GGTTCAAAGACAGGAAAATCTGTGAGATTCTTGCCTACTAAATTACTGGCTAAACTACACAGAAAAAGCCAGAAGTGGTGCTGTGGCTCAAGTGGTAGAGTGCTAGCCTTGAATACAAAGAGGTTCTGAGTTCAAGGCTCAGACTGGCAAGAAAGGATGGAAGGAAGGAAGGAAGGAAGGAAGGAAGGAAGGAAGGAAGGAAGGAAGGAAGGAAAAGAAAGTGTCCAAACACCTGTGGCTCCTGCCTGTAATCCCTGCTACTGATGAGGCTTTGATTTAAGCATCATGGTTTGAAGCCTGAGAGAATCTTATCTCCAATTAACCAACAAACAGCTGGAAGTGGAAGTTTGCCTCAAATGGGTAGAATGCCATTTTTGAACAAAAAAGCTAAGCAATAGTGTGAGGCCCTGAGTTCAAGTACTAGTACCTGCACACACACACACACACACGCTGATAAAGACAATGGTGCTTAGGGAAGCCCATGAGTCACTGATGGAGCCCGGCTCGGCCTGTGTACGGAGGGGGATGGGGGAACCTGACATCGTCCTCATGCTGAAGGACGTCCCCCACACACATGGAATGGAAAGGACTCGAGGCTAGACCAGCGAGGGGGAGGGCTCCCTGTCATCACAGCTCCCAGCTGCAGGAGTGTCCGCGGCTCCTTGACTCCGCCACTGTGCTGGAGGCCGTGGTGTGCTTCTTCTCCGTCTGGTCCATCATCGGCCTCTCGGGATTCCATACGTACCTGATCAGCTCCAATCAGACAACCAATGAAGATGTAAGTTCCCGACCACAGGGCACAGGGGGGACAGGGAGAGGGGGAGGGTGTAGGGAGGGGTTGGGGTCCCGCTTCCCACACACACATCCCCCCCCCCAGCTGGGAGCCCTGGGAACAGTGAGCATGCTGTGGAGCATTGCTGTGTGTCGTATGTGTCCACCGTGCTGGGCATTTCTGCATTCTCCTCTTCTTCTCTGGCTGTGTCAGTCAAATGCTAAGACTGGCCAGGGGACCCCAGTCAGGCCAGGAGAAGCCCTTCCCGTCATTGCTAAATAACTGTGGAAGCTGCTTGCAGTATTTCGTCTCACGAAGAGAGTTCATGGTGGTGTGACATCCCGGAATGATTGATGACGCATCTGCCTTTCATACTTCATGTCTCTTTTTAGTTTGGGGCAGTAATTGCCCTGACCCAAAGTTTAACTTTATATCCAGGACCATCTGCCTGTATTTAATTCTGGTACAGGCGAGGAACAAAGCACGTGTCAGTAAGCATGGTCCTAGTTGCTGCGTATGCAGACACTGTCCTGCACACACAGAAACTGCTGTGTGCGCAGAAACTGAATGTCTCAGAACACGTCAGATTACCTTAAACAAAGCTGTGAGGGAAAATTCTGTGGTATCTCAGCATGGTCATGCATGCCTGTAATTCCAGCTATTTGGTAGGCAGAGACAGGAAGATGGTGAGCTCAAGGCCAGGCCAGATCCTGCGAGGTTAGCCAGACCTCATTGTATCACATTACATTATATTATGTTGGGGGGGGGGGGCGATGACTTGAGTATCTAGAGTGTTTACCTAGCAAGTGTGAGGCCTCTGGCTTCATTACCCACTACTGAAAACGAAATCAGAAAAGGAATTAGTGGTGATAAAATACACAGAGTAGGAGAGTTCATTTGATTTGTAACTGTGCATAGTAGAACCTGCACGGCAGACTATTTTATGAAGACCATGGGCTGGATTCTGTTTCTAGCCTGGCAATTGGGAGCCACACCCACTTTCCAGCCACCATTCATTTAATTGGTTTGGGTGGAAGATGTGTGAAAACATGACCACCGCCACTGGCATACATTGGAGGACCTGTTGGTACCATGCAGTACAAATAGATTAGCAACCCCAAACAGCAGCATCTAAGCTGCTGTTTGAGGATGACTCTAAGTTTGAGGGGAATGCTTATTTTCTTCTAGAAAAGTACCTCCGTGTCTCCTGGCGAGGAAATGAGCGAAGATTATTTGCATTCCCCGTAGGTGTCTCTGGGCATAGTTTGCCCAAAGGTGGTGGCAGGCGGTAGCATTGGTCTGGAGGACATTGTGTGATGCTGGCATACCTTTTCTTTCAGATCAAAGGATCTTGGTCAAACAAAAGGGGTAAAGAAAATTACAATCCCTACAGCTACGGAAATATCTTTACAAATTGCTGCGTTGCCTTGTGTGGACCCATCTCTCCAAGGTAAGACCCAGAAAGCAGCCTGCTCCTGACAGATCTGGAAAAGTCTCCTCCGTGTTAGCACAGGTCCTCCACTCCGGGCGCCCCCTGGCGGCAAAGCCCTCGCCCCCTCCCACCCCACCCCTCACAGCCCATAGATGCAGCCCCTGAAGTAGCAATCTGCCTCTGGTGGTGTTGATCCCTCTGCACATGGTTTGTGGTCTTAAACTAAATTTGTGTCAGGCTTAAGAACAATTCCCTAGTGCTTGGAATAAGGAAACTCCGTTAATTATTGAGTGAGTTCGAGCATCAGTGATGAGCCGGGAGCTAGGGTCAGCATAGTAAAGCAGCCAGGGCAGGGAACCTAGGAAAGCAATTTAAAACCTGTGGACTCTGGTGCTGAAGGCTGAGTGGCCCAGGATAGAAAGCCTGAAGGCCGCGGGGGCAGGGAGGGGTAGCCAGGCGGGCTGGACATTGTGGAGGTGACCGTGATGGTAACCATGGCAGTAGCTGACATTTATTCAACTTGTGTTCACCCTCCTCTGTGCATTTTAGAGGCGCTTGCTTTGTTGTGTTTCTGTCAGTTCTAGAGCTTGAACTCTGGGCCTCTCCCTCTCAGCCTTTTTTCTCAAGGCTTGAGGAGCTCTACCATTTGAGTCACACCTCCACCTCGGCTTTGTATTTGTAGATCTCACAATCCAAAAGACTTTTTGTCACAGTTGTTCACCTCCGGGGAAGCTCCTCCTCCTTGGAACTGCTTTAACTGCTTGCTGGGAGGTGCACTGGGGGCCAGATGGGGTGGCACAGGCCCTTAATCACAGCTACTCAGGAGGCGGAGATGGGAGCATCACCTCCCAAAGCCAGCCTGGGGCAAAAAAGAAAAAGAACTAAAGCAAAAAGGGCTAGAGGCATGTCCCATGGGAGCAGACCTGTCTGGCAAACACAAGCTCAAATCCAGTACCCCCAAAACGATAAGTGAACTGCGGTGCACTGAAATAGTAAGCGTCTCCCAGCCGGCAGCAGCTCCTGAGTTAGCAGCTGTGACTGGGGCCCCACCGAAGCCGCCCGGGCCCGCTGTGTCGGGTGAAAGCAGGAAGGCCGAGGGAACACACGCGGGTTAAAGTGAGCGCGGAGCCTTGGCGGCCAGTCCCAGGCTGAGGGCCGCTTGGCGGTTTCCGAGGGGTCAGGACTGGCCGCGCGGAACCAGCTTCAGTGTGTGGCCGCCTGGCCTCCAGGGCCTTTTCACACATTCTAGAACATGCCCTGGCGGAGGGGCACGATCGGCTCCCGGCCCTCCCTCCCTCCCTGCCCCAGGAAGCTGTGAGGGTGCAGGTGTTTGGCTCACCTCTGCTCTTCCTTCCTGCCCTCTTCTCCTGGTCTCCTCCCTCGGCCGGCCTCACGCCGATCCTGTGCCCTCCGGCTGGAGCCCAGCCTCCCCGGGCACGGCTGCCAGTGCTGAGCTTCATTGCCTCGCGTGGGTGATACATGGCGGCGTGATGCGGAGCAGGTGTCTCCGTGTCCCCACCGAGAGCCCCAGGCCACCTGTGCGGTGTCACCAGAGGGCCGGGGCGGCTCCCAGGGGCCTCGCGCAGGCGTGGAGGGAGGAATGGCAAACGGGTTCTGTCGGGCGGGCGGATGTGGCGTGCTGGCCGAGGGCCATCCATGGGCAAGCCGCGCACAGCACAGTCCCCTCAGACCCTCTGGGCTGGGGGGTGATGGGTAGGGATTTGGGGGAGGCACTGTGGGCGGCAGGGACTTGACAGATGGGAGACAGCATTGCCGGGGCCCCGAAGGGAAGCCCTGGTGGGGGGGGCAGAGGCATGCGCGGGGGTTCAGGGCCATTCGGAGGCGCAGCGGACGTGGGGCAGAGCCACGGCCCCGGCCCCGGCTGCGGGGCTGCTCCTGCCGCCCGCTGCCCGCTGCCCGTGGCTCGCAGCCGTGGCCCCGCTGCCCTGCAGACTGCTGGCCTCGTCCTTCTCTGCTGCTCAGTGAGAGCCCCACACATCCGTCCACGTTCATCCTCCCTAACGGAGCGTCATTTCAACGAAGCCGACCGGCCCAGGGCCCCTGGAAGTTAGCGCCGCCCGTCCCAGCTTCCCACCCGAGGGGAGGGCTGTGGGGAAAGGGGGCTCAGGGGCAAGGGGGGCCCTTCCCCAGGTCCTGGCCCGCGGTGGCGGGAGATCCTGGAAAGGCCTGTCTTGGGGCTGCCCCTCCGTGCAGCTCCCAGGGCTCCCCACACCGCCGGCCCCTCACCGGCTCCCCCCGAGTGCGGCCGACAGTCCTTGGTCCTCCAGGGTCGTCTGGAGCCGCCTCGCCCCAGCCTCTGCCTCTGTGTCACGTGGGAGACCACGTGACTCCACATCAGTCTCGTAAGGCCCACCCTCCCCTTCATTCAACCCCATCTCTCAAGTGCCGGGTGGGGCTGCAAGCGGATATTTTCCCACCATTCCAGCCAGGATGCGCCTCTGCAGGCCCGCGGCAGGTGGACAGGGGAGCGGGGAGGGAATGTGACTTAGAACAGACAAAGCACAGGGCGCACAGGTGAGCGAGACCCGGCCGTGTCCCCGCGCTGCAACCCGCGAGGTGCTCAGACCACGTTTGCCGTGAGACCCTAAGAGGCTGCGAGCATAAAACGTGAGCTTGAGGCCGGACAGAAGAGCAGGGACAGACCGCGGCCGGCAGAGGTGACACACATTGAGACTGAGGAAGGGGACAGCGGCGCGGCGGGTCCGGGGAGGGCCGATCCACGGGTGGGGGGGCATCCTAGAAAGAAGGGACCCAGACGTGGACGTCTTGATGCCCACTGCAGTGTCTGTGGGTTTTTCTTCATGCTCTCCCTCCTGTGTTTTCTTCTTGCTGCAGCCTCATTGACAGACGAGGGTACATCCAGCCTGACACTCCGCAGCCCGCCGCGCCCTCCAATGGGATCACCATGTACGGAGCCACGCAGTCACAGAGTGACATGGTAGGGACGGCCAGCCCCACACGCTTCTCTTCTCTCACACAGGCTCCAACCCCGAGGCCAGCCACATGCTCACTAGGGAATGGTCAAAGGGCAAATTAGGACAGTATTCAACAAGGGATCCGAGGCCAAGTCTGGCTAGCTCGCTGTTCCTTTGGTGTAGAACTAGACTGCATCTGAGCAGCAGCAAAACATTGCGTCTCATTTCACCTCAGCAGCATCTCACAGTCACCCCATTTTATACAAGATAAAGTGGGGGATTTTTTATTTAAAATGCTAAATGACTTGCTCAGATCATGCGGGGGCTGAGTCCAGGCCTGTGTACTCTCTGGCCATGGGCCCTCGCTGGGTGTCAGCGACCTCTCCACACCTGGGGGCTGAGGAGACAGTGCCCCTCAGCCTCGGCTGCTCAGCAGAATTGCAACTCTCACACCCCAGTCCTGCTAGCTCAGAACCCCAGGGCAGGGCCCACGCTCTGGGATTAATAGGGTTCCGTGGGTGAGTTTAATAGATGATCAGCAAGGAAAAAACCATAGCCATAGCCTTCAAACTCTCCAAAAGTTGGGGCTATGAGAACAGTTTTGTAGCCACTTTTTGCTCTGGTTCAGAAAAAGTATCTTTTATCAGCTGGCTTACAAGTCAGAGGGACTCAGCTGAGACTCAGCTCACACATGGTCTATTCAGAAGAAAAAAAGATAGGGAGAATTTCAACAAAAAAGACAAGATCCTGTAGGTTTCAGACAAAGCTTCCTGGAAGACATGATGATGTTTGCACTAAGTATAAAGATGACAATAAATTAGGCACCAAGGTGAGAGAGGGAGGCAGCTTTCATCACTATAACAAAAAGTCTGAAGTGATTCCCTTAGGAAAGCTGTGTTTTGCTGGGCACCAGTGGCTCACACTTGTGAACCTCAGGAGGCTGAGATCAGAGGATTGTGGGTCAGGGCCAACCAGGGCAGCAAAGTCTGAGAGACTCATCTCCAATTAACCACCAAAAAAATCCAGAAGTGGCACTGTGGCTCAAAGTGATGAGCCAAAGAGCTCAGAGACAGTGCCTAGACCCCAAGTTCAAGCCCCATGACTGACAAAAAAAAATAAAAAGAAAAGGTTTCTAGGGCACAGTTTAGAAGTTCAAGTCCCTGCTCTGTAGCCACATTGCTTTTAGGCCTCTGGTGGAGGAGCCGGGTAGAAACGGAGAGAATACGGCAGAGCGAACTGCTCACCTGATGACCAGGAAGCAAAAGAGGGGAAGAATCAGAGCACGGGGTCTCACGGTCCTGTTTGAGGGCATGCTCCCAATGATCTAAATGCCGCCTGTAGGCCTCTTCTAGAAACTCCACCATCTCCCAATAGCACCACCAGGATGAGCAAGGCATTCTCCACCGAAATTATAACAGGAGGGCCGCGCAAGCACAGCAAATGTAGAAGCACAGCCAGTGTGGCACGAGGCTGCCAGGTGCATGCTGGGAAAGGTGAAGGGGAGAGCGTGGATAGGGGAACGGGAACTCAGGGCAGCTAAGCCAGAAAAGATGCGCACAGAGGACCGCGGTGCCTTGCAAACCGGCGTGGGCTTTGTCCTGTAAAATGTCGGGGAGCCTGGCAGAGCGTCCGTTCGGCAAATACGACCTTCAGATTGTCATTTCGAGTGGGTGGGGCTGGCAGTAGGCTAGGGTGGTCTGTGCTAAACTGAGGGCAGACAGAGGAGTTCTCACGCAGGGACTGAGGGGCAGAAACAGACTCGAAAAGGACACAGCACAAACCAGGGTTTGAGACTTGAGGCCGTGGGAAGGTCTGGGAAAGGGAGCCAGGGGCGTCTCGCCCCAACCTCGTGCTGAGTGAGATGGCTGTTCCTTGCACCAGTGACCGTTCCGTGGGTGGGGCTGATTCGGCATGTGGAATTCTCTGCTTGTGTTCTGGGGGCCGGGGGAATGTGGCAAGCAGGGGGGTGGAAGGGTCAAGGAAGGGTTGTTGACCCATGTTCATGAAGAAATGGAGTGCTGGATAGCGCGTGGAATAATGAAGGTGACGTCACTCCATTTGTCAGGTAGCTAGGATTAGTCACTCATCTTCCTGACGTTCCCTGCACCCACCGCTGCCGACTGTATGCACCCCACTACGTCACTCAGGTTTCCTCGTCTGATTGGCTACTAGTGAGGACAGCAGAAGAGGGTGATCCTGAGAACTCAGTGAAGGAGAAGCCGGCAGCGCAGAGGACGGTAGATGACAGAGAACTGGGGCTGACGCTTTGGGGTGTGACAATCAGACAGGTTACCTAATGCCAGAACTGGAAAGTGAGGAAGCCAGTGGCATCGCCACCCTGGACTGTGCGAGAAATGACTTAGAGCCTGTCATCTGTTTCATCTTCCCCCCACCAGTTCATAACACAGGACTAGCACAGAGTAGGTGCTTTTTAAACCTTTGATGGAACATATGTGAAAATCCCCCTTCTAGGGGCTTCCTCGTAGTAGGTTCTTAGCAAATGTTAGGGTGCAGTTGTCTTCTTCCTCATTCCTTCCATCCTCTGATATGCCACATCTGTAAACAGCAGGCCTTAGCCACCCTACATACAGAACACAGAAGGAAAGGAGTTTCTTTGGTCTAGTGATAACACAACATGGCCTATGAAAGAATGATCTGGACAGAACCAAACTAACCTGTGGCCAAGAGAGGTCATGGTCATTTTATCCATGAGACTACAGGCGAGTACTCTGTCCTTTGTAGGAACTGCAAAGAAACTGAAGGTCTGGGCAAATGCCTACGTTGGAAAACATGAAATCAGAGTTAATAAATGTTGAATATGTCAACCTCATTAACTGTTAAAACTTAACATTCATGAAAGTGTAATTACATTTTAGAAATGATTTGTAGCTTGGCTTTCTCTTAACTCCCTAAGAATTCCTGAGCACACGTGTGATTACACAGAAGTCGTGATCAACTATAAATTAAGTCGTTTGCTCGCAGATAGACACATGTGAAGGTCTCTGACTGGAGCCCCTCCCTGGCTGCCTTCCCATGCTGCCTGGCTAGGAGAAGCCCAACGTGGCCTCCTGCTTGTTCCAGGAGAAATCTTCTTGATGCCATGACCATGCCCTGACTGGCACTGCCCTGGGCACGCGCGCTCATCTTCGGGAAAGAATGAGATCAATCCCTCAACCTACAAGGTCAGAGCGGGGACCGCCTGGATTGGGATTCAGATCCCCTCAATGCAAGAGACTCTGACACCCAGAGCTCACGTGGCAGACAAGAGTCCCGGAAAGTTCCACAGGGGAATTGAGTTACCCCCCTCCCCCCTCAAGTCCGGACAGGGAATTCCACTGAACCTTGGCCTTTAGGGTCCTTTCCAGTTCGTATCCTGTTGGACAGATGAGTTTCCAGCCCATTCCATCTTATCACCATGACAACATATTCCGCTCTGCAGTTAATGTATAGGCCAGTCGGCACCTCGTTATGTTTCCAGCTTTCTTTAGGGGTTCCTGTGGTGTGTAAGTGCTGGGCTAAGAGGACTACAGTCGTGTGCAGCAAGGCTGGTATTAAGCAGAGCCCTCACCCCACTTTCCTCTTTCTGGTTTATTCTCCCGATGGCCTTAGAGAACCCCCCAGAGGCTGGTGAGCAAATTGCCTCCATTTTTGCAGATTAATAAAACCCAGGGACCACGAGTACTTAACGGTATTTTGCCTAAAGCTTTTGCATGTTTACCCACAAGTCCCTGCTCTTAACCCTATGCTGTACCACCACCACCCATAATGAAATATTTGCAGAGAACTGACTGCATATACAATGCTTTTTTCCCACATTCTTTTAGTCTCTACAGCCTGTTATCCTCACTCCCTCTCCTGGAGAATCAGCATCTTGGAAATTAGAGATAAGGATATAAAAGTCTTAGATAAACACCCTAATATTGCAAGGGACTCTTGGCTGGATAGCGGGGGAAGCTGGCATTGAGTGGACTCGCTGGAGTCTCAACTGTGTCTCAGGTAGGGAGTCATCGGGCGCCGGGGGCTCACAGCCGTAACCCTAGCTACTCGCCAGGCTGACATCTGAGGATCACTGTTCAAAGCCAGCCTGGGCAGGAAAGCCCATGAGATTCTCACCTCCAGTTAACCAGCATAAAGCTGGACATGGAGCTGTAGTTCAAATAGTAGAGTGCCAAACTTGAGCCATAAGGCTTAGGGAAAGTACTCTGACCCTAAGTTCAAACCTCAGTATCAGCGCACACAAAAGAGTAGCAATAATAACAGTATATTTACTTAGACTGAAATTTCACATCCCCCCACAACTTGCTCTTGGAAGGTGTGGAACCTTCCAGAAGTGGGTCTCAATTGGAAGAAGTTAGGTGTGCCCTGGAAGGGGACACTGGGACCCAGTCCCTTTCTCTCTCGGCCTTTGGGCTGTGACGTGAGCAGTATCCCCGCTGTGTGCGCCCACTGTAACGTCCTGAGCCGCCAAAGGTCCCAAGTGCCGGGGCCCAGGGATCACAGGCTACAGCTGCCAGACCATGAGCCACATAAACCTTTGCTCCCTCCTAGTCCCTTACCTCAGGTATTTCCTCACAGTCCTGGAAAGCTAACTGATACTCCCCTTAAACCAGTATCAAAACATGACGAACCCAGCAGCTGTATGATGTGTTAAACTAGGATTCCAGAATAGTCCTTGTGTAATCTGGAAAAGTCAAAAGCATTGGGGAAAATTATCTTGAACCAGCTCAAATAGCACTGCCAACCACCGTCTACATTTTGGGAGGACTTGGTGAGAAGTTTCTGGTGTTCTTGCACACTTTAAGTTCTGCCACAGACGTTCCCTCCCTGGCGATCAGCTGCTGTCCTGAGTCTGCTCTGCATTTGACCAAACTTGAACCAAGAAAAAAGGCAATGTCAGTAGGATTCTATCTACTATTTGAAAAGTGTGGGTCTTTAAAGGGTTATTGGGGGAATGAAAATGTGTGCTTCTCCGTTTGCTGTTCATAGTAGATGGACTTCTATCAAAGAACTTAGGTGGTTATTT